AAAAAAAAAAAAGATTTACTGTAAACCCACAGAAATCAAGACGGTGTAATACTGGCATAAAGACAGACAAATAGATCAATGGAACAAAAAAAAAGAGTCCAGAATTAGACACACACACACCTGATTTTTGACAAAGATTTAAAGACAATTCATTAGGAAGACACATCTTTTCAACAAATGATGCCGGAACTTTGATTCATACCTGGCACCAAATACAAAAATTAACCCAAGATTAATCATAGACCTAAGTGTAAAACCCCAAACTATAAAACTTCCACAAGAAAACATAGGAGCAAACCATTGTGACTTTGGGTTTGGCAAAGATGTCTTAGACGTGACAACGAAAGCAAAATGTATAAAATAACAAATCAGTAGGCCAGGTGCAGAGGCTCAAGCCTACAATCCTAACCCTCTGGGAGGCCGAGGTAGGAGTATCACCTGAGCTCAGAATTTCAAGACTAACCTGAGCAAGAATGAGAGCTATCTCTACTAAAAAATAGAAAAAAAAAAAAAAAAATCAACCAGGTGTTGTGGTGGGTGCGTGCTTATAGTCCAAGCTATTCCGGAGGCTGAGGCAGGAGGATCAACTGAACCCATGAGTTTGAGGATGCTGAAGACTCTAGCTTGGGGCAACAGTGAGACATAAAACAACAATAACAAAAACAGATTGGTAAACTGCTTTCCACTAAAAACTTAAAAAACTTTTCTTCAAAAAGACACCGTCAGAAAAATTAAAATGCAAGCCACAGGCAGGAAGAAAAGGTTTGCAAATCATACGTTTGATAAAAGGGTTATATCCAGGATATATAAAGAACTCTTCAGAACTCAACATGAAACATGGGTAAACAACCTGAACAGACACATCACCAAAGATGTACAGAAGACAAATGAGCACATTAAAAGATGTCCAACAGGGCTCAGCGCCTATAGCTCAACTGGCTAAGGCGCCAGCCACGTACACCTAAGGTGGTGGGTTCGAATCCCCAGCCCGGACCCGCCAAACAACA